GAAGTGCCATAACTTGTTTTTAGCTTTAAATAATTGTCTTTTAAATATGTAAGCCCCCTCGGGTCCTTTTTAAGGAGAACAGTGGGGTAAATAGATTTTAAGTAATACAAGCAGATATGCTGGTAACAATGTACACAACACATTCTGTTATTTTCTCCAATTGGGCAGTTTTGGTCCTGTTGTTTCAAAAGCTATTTGGATGATGATTAAGGTCTGAAAAAAAGCGTGAATCTTATCACAGGAACTGATAGATTTCCCAATGTACTTTTAGTTGGGGTCTGGGTGAAGCTGAAGTCAGTTCTGGAAGTGAATGATCATGTCTGTTTATCATGAGACTCAAAATCTGAATTTTGAATTGGTTTCTAAATTGCAAAGTTTCCTCTTTTTTTAAGGACATGGGAGGGTGAAGGGTGCTGAAGTCGTGGCGGGTCTTCAGGGTTATCTTTCTGTCCCCAAATCCCGTCTTCTGAAGTACTTTATGAGACCTTTTGTGTCATACCTTTGTGCTCTTGAATGATGAGAATTCCCAGAACGTGGCTTTTGTGTAAAATGTTTTGGCTGTCCTTTCTCGATGATGTCATTTGTTGTGACTTGTGAGAGAGGATGATCCACGCCTGTGAGATCGCTGAAGGTGAACTGATTTTTATTTTTCTTCCTTGAGTCATGCCATCTTGGTAATGTGTTGTTTGGAATTAATGGCTATAACTGCATTTTTGATGATTTTATACATGTCATATTGTTGTGTTTTTATCCATGTAAGCTGCCCCGAGTAGACATTGTCTAGGGGGGCAGGGCAAAAAATCTAATAAAAATAAAAATAAAATAAATAAATAAAATAAATAAATAAATAAGGTTATAGGCAGACAAGCTGGGTGAGCTAATGATAGCCTGCAAGTCTTATTAATGATTTGAGGAACAGATGAGGGGTGGAAAACCTGCCACAGATGGCATTTCTCAGAATTCACAGCCTTGAGGGTCTTCCAGGGTGCACCTAAAACAGCCCTGGTCTGCACCAAAATGATGATTAATTTTATGTATTCAGCAGCTGCCAAGTCAGAAGTCTAGAGCAGTGGTTCCCAATCTTGGGTCTCTAGATGTTTGTGAACTAAAACTCCCAGAAGCCTTCACCAGATCTGGGAGTTTCAGTCCAAGAACCTCTAGGGACCCAAGGCTGGAATCTGAAATTGAGAGATTCCCTGTTTGTGTCTACTGTTTCATACCTGGTCCCTTGTGCTAGGGTTTGGGGTTTTAATAAAAAGTTAGGAAGCACATCCCATAAAATCCCAGATTTAAAATCACTGGGGAGGTTTTTCTCCCTGTCCTACCGCTCTCCTAGCTGCATTTGTTAAGTACGGAAGAGAATAAGTACGGAAGAGAAGCTGCTGGTGCTCCTAAACTATGGAACTCCCTCCCACAAGAAATCAGGTTGGCCTCCTCTGTGCTGTCTTTCCACAGCAGGCAAAGACCTTTCTCTTCCGGAAGCCCTTTTTCTCAGGGACTGCCTGCCTAAGAGTTGGTCTACTAGGTGGTGTTGATTTGCTTTTGCTCCCCCCTTCCAGTTTTGTTACGTTTTTTGATACTGTAATCCTACATACTGGAGTCTATATCTTTCTAAATAAATGAGCCCAAGGTTTTCCCACTCCTGCCTTCTGTCTGCAGCCTTCCAGCGTGACAAACACAATGGCTGTGTGATAAGCATCAGTTGTTGATGCGGTGACCTATTCTGAGGTGTGTCGTTCTGAATAGTCTAGAAGGGTGGACTGTTTTTATTTTACTTATTTGTTGCATTGATAGTTTGTCTTTTCGCCAAGCAGCTCAAGTTGCGTACATCCCTCTTTCCCTCTCCACCTGATCCTCATATCCTCCCTGTGAGGTGGATGAGGGGATGGGACAGGCTCCAGGTCACCTCAGGAGCACCACCCTCAAGAGGGGATTTCAGCCCAAGCCTGTCCTGTGCTATTCCGAGTCCTCTGAGTGGCACCCCAGACCAAGAGGCCTTTAGTCGGCTTCAGCACATGGGTTGTGTGTCGGAAACAAACAACCGTGTGGTGTAGGAGAATGGGGGCGGGTCAGCGGGGTTGTGTGTGGGGTTGTGTGTCAGAAACAACTGTGTGGTGTAGGAGAATGGGGGCGGGTCAGGGCAGATCACAACAATGACACATTTGATCCCTATCAGCCGCGTTCATGCCTCTGGAGTTCCAGTAACTTGAACAAACTGTTTGTGTGCAATAACAGCTGGAAATCTCTTGGTGTGGCTCTGCCTGTCTGGTGTGAAAGTTCATGGCCAGTGTGTACAAACAGCCGTGTGTGTGTGTGTCCTGGCAGCGTGCTGAGGCTGATGCAAAGAAGCACCTGGGAACGTGCTCGGGCGCGCACACACAAACACGCACACACCCCTTTCTTTCTCCCTTTGTTTTGGTCCCTCTGCCTCCTTTATGGCCATGTTGCAATGTTTACAACTGGTTCAGTTTGTGCTTCCATGTCCCGCAACAGCCAGAACTTTGCAGATAAGCTGTTCCAGGAAACTGGGCTGGCCAGTCCATGGGACGAAGGGAAGGGGGAGAGCAGGAGGCGGCGCTTTTTCATAGAACGCCCTGTGAACGTACAGGATTTTTTCATTTTGTCTAGGGTGTACCTTGGGGGTAGGTCGAGAGAGCAGCGCTCAGTGAGTAGGACCCCAGTGGGCACCCATTTGAGGGAGAAGGTGGATCTTATTGGTTACCTTGAACACTCCATCATTCCTCCATTGAGTCCCCTGGAATATTGCCTCCCCCAATTAATCCTCCTATCAGCAGGGAGGATTCGATTAAAATCAAATTGATTTAAATCACTGCAGGGTGGATTAAAAAGGATTTGAATCCCAAACCAATCTGATTTAATTTTTTTTTTAAAAAAATCAATATTTAATTTATCATTTGAACCCCAAACCAATCTGATTTAAAAAATTTTTTTTAAAAAAATCAATATTTAATTTTTTTAAAATAATGATTTTTTTAAAAAAAATCCACCCTGCAGTGATTTAAATTGTGATTTACATTAATTTGATTTAAATAAAATCCACACGGCCTAACAGCCCTGTGAGGCAGGATAGACTGACGGGTATAGAGAGAAGCCCAAAGTCCACTGGAGATGTTTGTGCTTGAATGTGGGTGGCCCATCTCCTGGTCCAACAAAGCCACGCAGACCTCAGTAGCCTCCAGATGTTCTGGCCTAGACGCTCTGGAAATCCCCGTCCCGGAACACATCTGGAGGGCCTCTAGGTTCAAGGCGGTTGGCGTCATCTGTAAGAGTAGCTAAGTTTGGAGCTTAAAATTTGGATTCCTATCACGATTGGTTTGGTTTAGTGGAGCTCTGGAAAGATGGATCGGGGAGACTGTTTCTCCCACACTTTTTGTGATATGTGCTTAGAAATATTCATCCGTATCAAGAACTACCGCTCCCAAACCCTCCTAGCCATTGTGGCCAGAACCATGGGAGTTGTAGTTCTATGAAACAGTTCCATGCTCTTCTTAACAAGGTTGAAGGGGGCATGAGTAGTTAAAATTCAGGGGAGCTGAGAAGTGGGCATTCTGGACTTCCATGAACACCCCCCTCCGCTCAGTAATTCCACTCTTAATTGCTTAGTCTTGAAAGTAAGTAATTTCAGGGTGTTCATAGAAGCACTGGGTGGAGTAGAGTCAGAAAGCGTTGAAGAAAGTGACCCTTCTCACTTCTGTCCTCTTTGACGTTGCCTTGATATTTTTCCTTAACTAGCTTTTGACCCCTTTTTCCCTGGGGCATCAGAAATTGTTCCCAGGAAGAGCCTTTATGTTAATTAATAAGCACACAAGCTTCCCTCCTCCTCTCAAAAATGCCTTTTTGCTGAACTTTTGTTTTGGCCCTGACTGATCTCTGACTACAGAGCAGGATACAGCTTGCTCAGTGCTCTTGCTCAATGCAGCCTGGCTTACTTACCTGAGTCACCTGTTTGCCCTGCAGGCAGCTTTCCTTAGTCTGCTGTATGCAAATGTCTGGTCCTTGGAGGTCATTTAGGTCATTTATTTTTGAGCAAGTGCTCAGGAGATGGTATGCAAAGGACAGTTGATCAGAGAGCCCTTCTTTTTTATCCTCCAAGGAAGCACAGACCAAAATCTAAGTTTCACAGTAAGGTCCTGGGCTAACTTCTTAAACCTAGTGGCAATTCCCCTCTTAGGCTGGTGAGCCCGTTAAAAGTGGTACAGAATTGCTATTAAGTCTATAATGCAGAGGCACCCTTGATGAGCGGAAAAAGCAACATCAATATGGTTGGCTATCGCTTCTGACATGTCTTTAGACAGAATCCCTTTTCAAAGTGATAGGCATGCGTGCAGCCCTCGGCACTTCCATCCAGTGAGGTAGATCAGCAGGACTGTGAAGACAGTGGGGTACAACTGAAGGAGTGTTGCCTTCTTTGTGTGATCCTCCAGACGACACTAGGTGTAGCCCTGAAATGTTGATCTTGGCGCATAGTGTCCTTGTGGCTCAGCCTTGTACGTTTCAGCTTGAGCTGAACAGAGATTAGAAAGGGTTGGTATGGATGGCCTCTGGGTTCCTCCTGATTCCGCGGCCATGAGGTTGGGCTGTTTTTGGTCTGCTAGGTTGCGGCACGGGTGGTGCGTATTGTGTGTGCATCAGGTCATTGTTGTGACCCAACTGCTCGGTCCCTGATGCAACAGTCCTGCAATCTCACCTCCACCCCCCCACCCCAAACTTGGTGAGTCAGTTCCCTATCGTTTGCTCAGATCACTCCTTCATGCGCTGTGTCACAGCCCCAGAACAAAGCGCTTCCTTGTGGGAAAGGGAGAAAACTTTTTTTTTAACCTGTAGCCTAGCCTGGGCGGTGGCAAGCACATTGGGAATGGAGCCAGTTTTCTTTTGACAAAGTGCCAAATATAATCAAGAGTTTTTTTCAGACCTCCTTAGCCTGGTCTGCTTTGCTGATGCCCTGTGACACTTAAATGAGCTTCCGGTTTCCCTCGCAGAAAGCAACAAATGGCGGCAACCCACACAATGAAAGAGGATATAGAGATGGGTGTCCGGTTTATCCTCAGCATTTTGAGTCACAATGTTCGGCTCGGCAAGGAGCAGCTGGACCGCTTCGGAGACAGCCTCGTCAACATTTTGTGCGAACGCTTCACCGGCCATTGGTATCCGGAGAAGCCCATCAAAGGACAGGCGTACCGGTAAGCCTGGCACTTCGGAGGAGGTGTGATGAAGTATTTGTGTATGTGTGGGGGTGTCTGTTGATTTAGAGGTAGGAATGAGTCTCCCTCCAGGACTACAGTTCCCATGTTCCCTGGGGGGGGGTCCAGTGGCACTTGGGCCAGCCTTCTGTCTTGAGAACTGACTTACTCCTTTGATTCGATTCAGTGGAGTGGATCTTACCAGACCTTTAGTGGCGTGCACTTCCAGCTTTATTTGGCAGTAATGGGCTACTGGTATAATGCTAAGGAAGACATGCCTTTTACTGGACAAAGTGGTAAATTGTTTGGAGAGACAGAAGACAGTCCTGTGCACATACTGGCTGTATTTGCACATAGCAATAAACTGAGATTACTAGAAATGAGTAGTCAATGTTTCAGCTCTGGATTGTTGTTAGACTGAAACGTTGACTTGCGGGAGAGAAACAAATCAGGTATAATCATGGGTTTTGCTGTAGGTCTGAGCCAACCGTTGTTGTGAGCCTTCCCGTTATTTCTACCAGAACACAGTTTATGCACTCTACATAAGCATGAGGCAGGAATTAACCTGCCATGCAGTGTGTTTCAGTCTACTGACACAAGATGATGGGAACTGTAGTCAAACACATCTTGGAGGGCAGCAGTTTTAAAGGGAAATGGGGTAAATGTCTCAGAATAACACTAAAGTGTTGGGTCTGCACATTAAAGATCATGGTGTGCCCAGATAGCTCAGTGGTTTAGGCATCTGGCTATGGAGCCAGAGGCTGGGAGTTCGATTCCTCCACTGTGATTCCTTGACAAGGGCTGGACTTGATGATCTAGAGGGCCCCTTCCAGCTCTGTACAGTGGTGCCTCGCTTAGCGGCGATAATCCGTTCCAGGAAAATCGCCATTAAGCGAAAACATCGTAAAGCGAAAATAAAAACCCAATTGAAACACATTGAAAGCCTTTCAATGCGTCCCAATGGGCTTAAATCTCACTGTCCAGCGAAGATCCTCCATGCGGCGGCCATTTTCGCTGCCTGTATAGCGAGGAATCCATCCCTAAACACAGCGAGGAGCCATTTTATTTACCCAGCGGCCATTTTGAAACTGCTGCTCAGCTGTTGAAAAATCATTGTTTTGCAAAGAATCTGTTCCCGAAGCAGGGAACCGATCATCGCAAAGTGAAATTCCCCCATTTAGACCATTATTTTGCGATCGCAAAAAGATCGTTGTAAAGCAGATTCGTTGTAATGCGGGGCAGTCATCAAGTGAGGCACCACTGTAGTTCGATGATGATTCCGTGCTCCATATCTAATGTTTCTGCATCTGCTCCCCTTCTTGCCAGGTGTATCAGAATAAACCGGACAGACCGTGTGGATAGTTCACTGAAGCGAGCTTGCCAGGATGCAGGAATAGATTACTCGGAGCTGTCCTTGCCTCGAGACTTCACTCTCTGGATCGACCCGGGCGAAGTCTCGTGTAGGTAAGGACACAGGGCTACCTGTTGTGGAAATAAGCATCCATGCTGTCTCTAGAAGAGTGGCTCACCGGAGTCTGACCAGTATCTTCTCTCCCTCTCAACCCTGCAGGCTCGGCGAGAATAACTATCCATTCAAAGTGAGCGAGGAGTTCAGAAGGGGTCAATCGTCTCCAGAATTGGAGACATCCGATTACCACTCTGAGTCCCCCACTCCTTCAGAGGGGTCTTCGGAAGACGAAGGGCGGACCAAGAGCCTGGAGAAGATCCAGGCGTCGCATAGAAGCCGACCCGGGAGGACCAATAGTGCACAGGTAAAAGAAAAAGAGAAGGGAGTTCCTGGAATTTGAATTTGCTTGAGCAAGCCTGGAATGCCCGTTTTCCATGCTTAGATGGCATGTCTAGCTCTGCCCTGTTTTGTCTTCCATTCTTTTGAGCGAGCCTGAAGAGGGCCTGAGCAAGAACTGGAAAATCTGGGTTCTTGCCCATTTTCAGAGCACACGTATGGAACCCTCCTTTTTCAAACCCCTGCATCATCACATGTACAGTAGGGACACCCCCCAACTATCCACAGGATCATTATCTGCGGTTTCATTTACCTGCTGCTCTGAAATTGCTACTTAAAAAATCCCAGAAATGTATTTCTGGAGTGTATTTACCAGAACTGGCCACTAGAGGGGGGGGGTTAGAGACCATGCAATGTATAACATTCAATACTTCTGGCATTTTTTAGCATCTGCAGGGGTGGTGGTCTTGGAACTAATCCCCCATAGATGCATTGGTCCTACTGTGTAAAACAACAAAGGAGGGCGGCTAGATGCTCACTCTTTTAGCAAGTAGATGTGTGTACAGTAGGACCCACCTATCCACAGAATCTATATCTGCGGGTGCACTTGTTAAATTTAAAAAAACTCTAGAAATAGGTACAGTATATGTATTTCTACAGTGTATTTACACTAGAAGGTGTCTGAGACTATGCTATGGATAGCGTTCATTACTGAAGCATTTTTCAGCATCCAAGGAGGATGGGTTGAAACTGTTCCCCCATCACAGATACCCCACAATCCTACTGTATTAAATTCTAAATACAGCTAAAGTAGGATTCATGTGCAGCTTCTTAAATTTGCCTGTCAAGCTTCAAAGATGGGCCATTCTCTACATCTGCTGCAAATGAACAGAGCCCCCTTCTCCCCCAAAAAACATATTTGCTCTGGGCGAATACATCACCCCCAAAGCTTTCTGAAATTAATTCAGCCCATAGACCAAAAGATTCTCCCCTTTTCTTGACTTACCTAGTCAAGTCATGGTTGGAGTTTCAGGACCAAGGACAGTTCCCAGCAGACCACTGACTCCTATGGAGCCTCACCTGAGACCCTGGATTCTTCCTGGAGAGGGACTATCCTCCCAGATTCTTACTCTGGTCTTCTGGGTTGAGAGCCATTCACTCTCCCACCTCCTTGGCCGTTGTCCCACTTTGTGTGTTGCCTGTACAGCGGTGCCCCGCATGATGACCCCGCTAAACGATGAATCCATAGGACGATGGCTTTTTGCGATCGCTATAGTGATTCGCAAAACACTCATTTCAATGGGGGATTTTCGTTTCATGACAATTAGGCCTGTGCTTCGAGAACTGTTTGTTCGCAAGACGACGATTTTTCCGGCTCCACAAAGTGGCTGCCCGGTGTTTTCCTGACCCATGCTTTGCAGGGCAGCCATTTTAACAGCTGATCGGCACTCGGAAAATAGCTTCCCCTATGGGCGATCTTTGCTGGACGATGAGATAATTTCCCCATTGGAACACATTAAATGGGTTCAATGCATTCCAATGGGGACTTGTTTTTCACATGACGACGATTTTGCTTAACAGCGATTTCAGGGGAACGGATTGTCGTCGTCATGCGGGGCACCACTGTAGTTTGGAGTGTGGCTCCTAATGTAAAGGGAATAGCTTCCTCCCTGGGGTTGCCAGTGTAGAGGCATCTTCAAGGAACTGGCTGGCAGGTTCCACCTCAGTGTTCTGTATCTGGTTTGATATCTCCATGGCTTTCAGGTGGAAACTGGTCCTTACCTAGCTCTTGGCAAAACCCTTGCTGATGCTCAAGGTAGCAACCGTGACACCTTATACATCAAGACTGTGCCATTCCAAGTGTCTTATTAAACCACAACATTTGAAGATTGTTCCAGATCAGAGTCACGGTCATGAATCTTTTCTCTAATCCCTGTCTTCTTTTTTTTCTCCCCTCTCTTACCAGGCTCCGCAATACTATTATGTTCCCTCTCCGCTCTGGGTACCGTGGCAGCACAACGCCGTTACCTACCTCCCAGCTTACCAGCCCCTTCCCCTCTATTATGTGAATCTCCCGTCAAAGCCGCCAGCCGCCAGGAAGCCCAACCCGGAACTGCTCAAGCGTCTCACAAAACGGGCCTCCAAATCTTGAGAACAAAGGATGGCGGGCAAATATTTTCTGTCCCTTAGGCCTTGCCCCAGACCTTAAGTGGGACAGGTTTTGTCTTTCCGTACCATGGGGCTCTTGCCACAGCGTGGGGAAGTTACTTTTTTTTGGACTGAAACTCCCAGAATACTTGCATTAGTTGGAGAAGGTCAAGGAATCCTTTGCAGTCCAAAACAGAGTAACTTCCCCAATCTCTGGCAATTTCATCATCAATATTCTAGGGTGTATAGTTGGATTTTTGGAAACTCTATGGTGGTGGGAAATTCCTGAGGGCTAGTGCCTTAATCTTTCTTTGGTGAGGGAATGTTGGGGTCTGTTTCTATGGTGCTGAAAAGACGGTAGCATTCCATCTGTACTGTATATTATTGAGCACTTCCGCTGTGCACTTAAAACCAGAGGCCTGGGTTGCCTTGTGTGGGACCGAGGAAGGGAAGCAAGGAGAGGACACTTTGGTGCTTTTTCCACCTCCCAACAGGGCAGTCATGTCTATTGGTTAGAGCCGGAGAGATGGTTGCAGAGGGAGGAAGTTAGAAGGAAAAGAAATGCAATTTAGTGGAGGGCGAACCCAGAGCCTGTTTTCCCGGTCTCCCAGTTTTCCGTAGCTACTTATCGGTTGCTGGAAAACTGGGGTAATATTGAAAGCTCTGTGTATGTTGCACTTAGAAAAATGAAGGAAATTTAAAATGCTGCTGCCAAAGGTGGGTGGTGGGTGGGAGGTGTTTGTGACCTCTGGATAATGAATTGCACTTTTGCATCTCATGCACAAGATGTAACAGATAAGCATCCTATTTTCTCTCTTCTTCCCCCACCCCCACGCCTGTATCTTCTGCTTTTTTGCTTAACAAGGCCTGAGCATTGCACTCTGCTCATTGTGGAGCAGCCTCAAAAGCACTAGAGCCACTGCTGCTTTTTTTATCCTTGCCCCTTTCCCCTCGTGTAGGAGAGATTTCAGTAGGGCTGTTTGTGCCCCACTTTTTATTTTTCCACCGCGAGGGCTAGAAGACTTTTCAAAAACAAGGAAGGAGATTCCTGAAGTTTAGAATGTGAAATGTTTTTAGGCTTGCACAGTGCACTCTGGGAAAACAGATGATGACAAAAAAATAATACTTACCTACCTCAAGGGATGCTGTGCAATAGTTTAATTATTATATTTTGAAGGATATGTAGAGCACATACTTGTCGTTGGGAAAAGTATTATTATTTAATGCTGATTAATATGTCCTGTAAATAACAAGCGGGCACTTTTTTTAACTTATGTGTAAATGAACTTCATTGTGTAAATATGTGATCTGCCTGTTTTTTACGCACCATTGATGAAACATATTTTTGTCTTTTTTTTAAAAAAAACTTTTTCTATGAAACTCTTAAATAAAAAGTAATACCTCTTTGAAATAATCCAGGCTGTGGAATGGAGTTCTGTGTTGGGTTGGGGGAATCTGTAGCATTTAAATCTGTGTCCCTCCTATTCTGTTGGACTACACATCCCATCTTCCCCACCACATTGCCATGCTGCTTGAGAAGATGGTGAGTGATGTAGTTCATCACATCTACAGGGCAACAGGTTAAGAAAGGTTGCTTTGATCTCATGGCTCCATGAGAAGGAAGTGATATTATTTTATAACAGGAATGAATTCTCTGCCCTGACATGCTTACACGTTTGGTGGAAGGGAAGGAAGGAAGTCACACGTGTATTGGGTGAAAGTATTGGGGCCAAGTCTGGAATCTCAAATACGTAAAATTCGTCTGGTATAGGTTCATTTGTTTGAAATCCAGAACAAAACAAAATAGGCAGATAGAGTTCCAGGACAAAGCAAAGACTCGGGTGGTTCCGATCTCTAAAATAGGCAGAGTTTGGAGGGACTCGGACTGCAGGGAAGAATGATGAACGTGAATCCCCAAGAGAAGGACAGGAGCCGGGCTTTGCCCAGCAACAGCGGTGACAGGCGCTTTGAGGCCAGAATTGCATCTCCGCCCTCACGCCTGCAGAAAGCAAACTTTAGAGGTTCTCAATACACAAATCCAGGAAGCGAGAGATCAGAAATCTGGCAGGTCTACTTCTCTCTTTCAGGTCTGCCATGCTTCTGAATTCCATGTACATTAAAGCCAAAAAGGGAGAGAGGTCCTAACTTCTGGTTTTCTAGCACAAGAATGCTGCTGCCCTCAGTTTATAGATTTGGGCCAGATCCTCTTGTGCAGCTTGACGGACCCAGCAGAAGGGCATGAGCGGGTAAAGGTAAAGGTTCCCCATGACATTTAGTCCAGTTGTGTCCAACTCTAGGGGGTGATGCTCATCCCCATCTCCAAGCCGTAGAGCCAGCGTTTGTCTGTAGACAGTTTCTGTGGTCACATGGCCAGGAATGCCGTGACCTTCCCACCAAGGTGGTCCCTATTTATCTACTCGCATTTACATGCTTTCGAACCGCTAGGTTGGCGGGAGCTGGGACAAGCGATGGGAGCTCACTCCGTCGCGTGGATTCGATCTTACGACTGCTTGGTCTTCTGACCCTGCAGCACAGAGGCTTCTGTGGTTTAACCCGCAGTGCCACCATGTCCCTTTCATGGGCGGTAGAGAGCTGCTAATTAAAGATTAAATTAAAGATGTCTCCCTTTTCCCATCTTTGGCCACAAAAATGATGGGCAAAGTCAGTGGTTGCCCAAACCTTTTCAACTTGCAGCAACCTTGACTTAATGGCCACTGGCTGTTTCTCCCTCAATATAATAATTTAGGTGAGGGGTGGAAGGGAGGGGGAAGTTGGGCCCAACTAATACTTCCGTGGATTCCGCAGAAGGACTTTCAAGGATTCCGTGACACCCCTGCCTGGATTTGGGGGTGCCAAGTTTGGGAACCATTGGCCAAAGGGAATGTTCTATTATAGACTGAGATGGTGTGAAATATAACGGGTGATAGAATGTTTAAGTCCTCTTGACAGCATGGAAAGACAACACCCATCAGGCTGAGGTGGCACAGCCCATAGTCAAGTATGATGGGAGTTCTCATTCCATATCATCAAGTACCCCCTTCACATTGATTCTCATGGCCCAAATTTTAGAAATGATGGTACTCTTGTGAAAATAACCATCTAGAAATTAAAACACAATCAGTTCTTTAAGCAGATACATCTGGATGAACTGTGTCTCTTCTAGAAGATATTTTGTGGAATAGTATTTACTATACAGTGGTGCCTCACTAGACGATGATAATTCGTTCCACTGAAATTGCTGTCTAGCAAAATTGTTGTCTAGCGAAAAGCAAATTGTCGTCTAGCGAGTTTTTCCTTGCTGTGCTTGCAGAATGACCCGATACTTCCTAAAACATTTGGGGGGGGGGAGCCACGCATCCTACATCTCTGGCAGGTTTCTTTGGCTGGGGAGAGGGGGAGTTCAAGCAGTAGAATTAACCCACCCCAAAATGTGAACTTATATTCTACCATCCCATGGTTTCTTTTTAACTGCTGGTATGACAAAGAGCAGCTCAGGAGAAGCCCATTTTCCTCCATGGTGGGAAAAGCATCACCTGTTGGATTTCTGCCAGTGAGGTTTTTAAAAGCACAGGACGGTGCCAAGCTCTACAGCTGGACATAGAACAGCTATTCTGATTCTGCTGTACACAATCACTCAAAGGAAAAAACTTACCAAGCTTTTCTGCCTGCTCAAAATGGGAGGGAGGTCCTAGCATAGCTGGTTCTGCATTGCACGAGAGTAGATCCAATTCATTTGAAAAAGGATCTCATCCCCCCCCCACACAGTTAAACAAAATACATGCCAATTACATGCCAAGTCAATTCCAAGTGACAGTCAACCTTTACAGGTTTTCTGATATAGAGTATTCAATAGTAATTTCTCAGTCGGTTCTTCTGGAACCATGTAGCCTGCCCAAGGCTACACAGGCTGGCTCTTCTCCCAGCAGACCCAGTGGGGAATTGGATACTGTATATTAAGGAGTGGTGAGTTTCCATGGCTTAAGCAGGAATTTGGACCCTGATCTTCAGAATCCTAGTCCATCACTGTCCACTGCACTATACTGGAAACCATCCGCAGTGTTGTTGTTTAGTCGTTAAGTCGTGTCCGACTCTTCGTGACCCCATGGACCAGAGCATGCCAGGCCCTCCTGTCTTCCACTGCCTCCCGGAGTTGGCTCAAATTCATGTTGGTCACTTCAGTGACACTGTCCAACTATCTCGTCCTCTGTCGTCCCCTTCTCCTCTGAAGTAAATTGTCCCAAACTGAATTAGAATCTGGACTATGCTGCAATTCAGCTCGAGACCACTAGGGAGCATCATTTACCTATCTAGGTCAGGAAGAGTCTTAAGGCTGGGTTTTCCCATACATTCTTCCTGTCCCTCTGAATTTGCAGACCCAGGATATTTGTAACTATTTTGAGAAATTAAAAGAAACGGCACTATAAACAAAATCAAGAGGGCAAGCCACAGAAGAGGAGGAGTTGGATGTGAATAGACTCCAGGAGGTGGCAGCCTTTCTCTCCTAAAGAGTTACTTAGTTTGGATCACTCAGTGAGTTCAAGTAGATTGGAAAGCTGGATGCACAATCTATTTATTCCCTAACCCTACCTGGAGATCTTATGTGGTTTCCTGTCTAAATAAGGACCAGGTCATTACTTTCAAAATCAGGCAGGATTGAATGTATGGTATGCTGGTAACTGAAAGAAACAGGTGAGCTGGGATGATGACGATGACCGCGGCGGCGGCGGCGGCGACGACGACGACGACGACGACGATGATGATGATGATGATCATCATCATCATCATCATTCTGGCAGCCAAGATCACTCTGGGCAGTTTACAACAAATAACAAAAAACAACAGAATGACAAAAAAGCAAATAGCAACATTAATACATAGGTGTGAAAATCAAAAATCATAAAGTAAAGTGAGGGTAAAATTATAATACAGTAAATGCAATTAAAAGCATAGAAAAATTTTAATCGGCCATTGCTGCTGTGCCTTTTTAATAGCATTTTCATGTACAGGCATGAATGGGTTAAAGATAAGGTAGGCCAGGTTCCTTAGGCCTGACAAGTAGAAGTTCAACAGGTGAGGTTTTTTCCTGAATAGCACATAGAAAGCAAAGATTTTGCCAGGTGAATTTCAGCTGAGTACATGGTTGCCAAATAATGCACAGTCGCTCTCCTGGAGAAATATGTGCCAGTGTTTGTCATGTGGGAGAAATCTGGCAACCAACTTTTCTCTAGCAGGGCTCCTGTGCTTTCAACAGCTGCCCAAGAGAAACAAGCAAGGAAACAAAACACACAAAGTCTAGCTTTTTTTCCTAGCATGGAGATAAATAGTGGGAACATGATTTACCTGCTAAATATATTTATCAACTGGATACTGGTAAAAAAAGATAAAAACAAAAACACACAGGAGCCCTGTTGTTGGGTGGAGGGACTTAACAATCTTAGCTATCAGGATTTTTAGCCTGGCTATTAAAATTCTTCAACGGATTTTCACACGGCTTCCTGAATTGAGCAACCTTCTTAATCCTGTTGTTGTGTAATTGGACTTAGAAGCCTTTCTCAAACTTTTCACACTGGCCTCCCCTCTAAACTAACCTTATTTCCTGCTTCCCTTCGTGATACGGATTGGGTTGGGATTTCTCTTGCTGGCCCATAAAGAAGGCTGACCGCCTCCTTTCTATGGGGAAGTAAACCTGTCCCACCCCACCACCCACCCCAAAAACTGTACGGAAACATCCTAAGACTAAAGCAGCATTTTCCCCTGAATCCTCATTTTTTTCAAGGGATGGGCAGTGAAAGTACAGCCATGTTCTGCTATCAGTCCTCTAAAATCTTGACTTTTGCTGCAGTTGCTCTGTGCTATCAAGTCTGAACAGACTTTCAGTGACCCTAAAAGGGCTTTCAAGACAAGTGAGATATTTAAGGAGTGG